TACGATCAGCAACACAATAGCATCATGTACCTCTTAGAAAATGACAATTTGTGGTAGTTATTAATCTATCACCTTTAACTGTGTGAATTAAATCAAAATCAAGGACCAACCCAACATATGTTTATAGTGAATAAACTTCAATATAGCAACTTTACCCTTTGGGATGTGGAGTCAGAAGGAGTTGGGGAGGGAGGAATAGGTAAGTAGAAGGATACGGGAAGGTTAGCAGTAAGGCCAGAGAGCACAGGCAAGAGAAGGAAAGAGAAGAAAAGAAAGATAAAGAAGAAACATGAATTAGGGGCACAACAGGAACACAAAGGGAGGTGAAGAACAACAGCAAGGGAACGAGGCAGAGAGTGAAAGAAAAAAGAAAGGAAAAAGTGAAAATTTTTTTAAAAGAGTAGCAAAGAAGAAAAAAATAAAAATAAGAGCAAAAAAAAAGTGTTAATTTTGAAAATAACAGACAAAAGATAAAAATGAAGGGCCTCCTTCAGGGTATGTCTCTGCTGTCACAGTAGACAATGTGGGCAGCAGTGTGCAGTTATAAGTCAATGAGTCTCAGTAAGCCAGTCACAGACTCCTGAGATTCAGGCAGATTTCTGGCTGCAAGTCCCAAGTTGAGCTCCCCGTTCTCCTGCAGGGTTGAACTCTGCAAGGTTCTACTGCAGGTTCCAGCTGCCTTTCCCCTGAAGGTAGTCCAGGTTCCGATGGGAGATGATGATCCCTCCAACTTACCAAGCACGGTGGTGTGGTGTGCCTTTGTATAAAATTATTAATTCTAATTTTAAAGTATTTACTTTAAAGCACTGATACTGGGTAAACAAACATTTATGACTGTTTTGTTTTCCTAAAGAATTAATCCTTTATCCTTATGAAATGCCCCCTGATTGCTGACAACACATTTTCTTTGTGTCTGTTTTATCTGATGTCTTTTAGTTACTTCAGTTCTTTTATGCTACTGCTTATATGGCATATCTTCTTCATCTTTTACTTTGAACCATCTTCCTTCATATTTATATGTGCTCCTTGCAGACAGCATAGAGTCAGTTGCTCCTTGTTTTTCATCCAGTGCCATGGCTTCTGTCATTTAATTGTAGTGTTTAGTCCATTTACATTTATGAAATTAGCACTTTAATTAAATTTAAAATTAAAACTTATTTAACTTCTATCGATCCCAGCTATATTTTGTTTCTCTGTTTCTCCTTTCCGGTCTTCTTTTGAATTTTCTTATTTTTATATAATTTCTTTTAATTTATCTAATAGCTCTATAGGTATAATTCTGCATTTTAATGTTGTTCTGGGCATTACAATATACAACCTTAACTTCTTTCTCATTTACTGTACCAGTTCACATAAAATACAAAAATTTCACAACCCTACAGCCCCATATAGTTCCCTTCCAAAAGTTATGCCATAGTTTTCCTATGTATTATACTTCTTCAAGTTATAAGCCCAATTATATATTGTTTTTGCTTTAAATAATCATATATTTTAATTCATGAAAGAAAGCAATCTTTTAGATATACCATATGTTTTGTCTTAAATCCTTCCTAAGATTCAAGTTCCAAGCTATATCATTTGTTTTGGGATGAAGTACATTACAGTATTCAGCATTTCTTATAGTGCAGATCTGTTTACAATTCTCTAGTTTTGATTACTTGAAAAATGTATTTTACCTTCATTCTTGCTATTATCACTGCAAATAAAAACAAGAATGTGTGTGAGGTATTCTGCTTTTCCATATCCCCAGTGACACTTGGTATTGCCAAACATTAAGAATAAATTAATCCCGGGCCAGGAATTTAGCTCAGTGGCCCCATACCTGCCTTGCAAGCACAAGGTCCTGAGTTTAATCCCCAGTACCAAAAAAAAAAAACTTCATTCCAATGATGTTATTACAAGTGGCAAAAATACCCTTCCTATGTATAATCAAGTATTTTTATGAGCCATAATCTTAACTCTTATAATAAAGAAGACACTAAAATGCAAAACAAGATGTTTAAATGTTAAAAAATATAGCCTTGGAGTATCCAAGGAGTAGCAACAAAATTTCTATCATAAGAAAGATAAGTCATAAAAGACATTAGGGTTTGTGAAAAATAACTTACCTCAAACTCTCCAAGCAGTTTAGAAATAAACAAACCCTCTGGAAACTTAGATACAACCTAACAAAAAATAAAATACAATATAGATATAACTGGGACTATGAGACAAAATATTTAAAACAAGACAGTATAAAATTAGTAGTAACAAAGGCAAAAATAACATTGGATTATTTTTATCTTCATTATACATCTTTTAAAAAATCATTTTCTGGCTTAAAAACCTTTGTAACAAAAGGACAGTAATTTCTATCACTTCCAGAGTGGAAAAATCATTATTATACAACATTGCAATTCTACAACTCTCCAGAAAATGCTATTTGGCATTAGCTCACATAAAATATTCTGCACCACGATTTTATGCATTATAATTGATAAAAAATAAATGCAATGGACACTATAGAAAATTTCAGAAAATGCAGTTAAACTAATTACCTAGATTTAATATAAAAATAAGGTTAATAGTTCTACAACCATTTTTTAAAATATACTGTAGACATCTTTCCATGTCAGTAAATGTGAATAAATATTTTAAAGAACTACACATTTTTCAAAATATTCAGTGTATGCAATTTATTTGATCATCTACTTATGGTTACATCTTTTTATCATCACAAACATTGCAATTATCCTTACATTTGCATTTTACATATCTGTTCAATAATTTTTTTAGGGTAAATCCCTAGAAGTAACTTATTCTATTCCAATACAATATAAAAAGCTTCGTTTTTCCCTAGATTTTTCTAGATATATTTTGTACAAAATTCTAAGTAAAGTTTCAGGAAAAATATAAAAATTATTTCAGACAGCTGGGGATTTGGCTCAGTGGTGCCATCACCTGCCTTGCAAGTGCAAGGTCCTGAGTTCGATCCCCAATACCAAAAAAGAAATTATTTCAGACTCCTGTAACCTGGAGGTAGCCATTGCTGCATTTCATAAAACATCCTTTCAGCTATCTCTTTATGCATGTATATACCGACATTACTCATGATTTAACATGAAAGGACAGTATTAAACATGGCATTCTTAAAAACTGTTGAAGTCCAACCACAAATGAAGGAGATACTTCAATGTAAATTAATAGATACATGTATAAACTTTCTTAGGAACTATGTGATATTCCCCAGTTTGGACAGATAGTTTAACCAATCCTTTATCACTATACACTTAATTTTTCTCTAATTTTTTGTACCATAAAAAGTCTTATTGAACATCCTTGAAAAAATAATTGTTAGACATTTAATCAATTTCCAAATAAACAAGGCCTGAATGTATGTACCAAAGTTTTGTATTTCTCCCAGCAAAGTCATGACAGTTGATATGGGATAAGCTTAGAAGAGTTGTGGTGACACCCTGATTGTTCAATCCTGGATTACTATTATCTTCCATCAAAATTTTAAATGTACATACCCTTTGGCCCAATACATAACAGCCAAAGAGACTTCTTCCTATATTAGTAAGGCAAAACAACAAATTATGCCAAAGAGATGAAGAGGCAATTCACATAAAAATATAAATGACTAAGCATATGAGAAAGCTATTCAATGTAAAAATCAAGTTATAAATTGAAACAACATGGCGAGATAGTAACATTTCACTGTCAGTGGAATTATAAATTTGTTCAAACCTTTTAAAGGGCAAAGTCAATGCCTTTGATTGACAACCACTACTAGATAAATGTTCAAGGACATTAACTGCAGCCATCTTTTAAATAGTCAAATGTAAACACAACCTAAATTTTAATCAGTCACAGATCTCATAATCGGAACATAAACATAATGGGACACCATACACTATTTGGAATATCTTATGTATATGTAGAGAGTCCACCAAAAGAATGCATAAACATTTGGTGAAAAGAAAAATAGTATGATGTTTTTTCAACAGATGATGTAACTCTCATATGGGGAGCCCTAGAGGATGTCGTGTATCACAGAAAACCCACTACATGTTCCCGGTCCTTAAAGAAGAAATTGAAAATGCATGTGCAGCAATCTCAGTGGACCAAGGTTACCCAAGCAGCAATTCTCTATACTAATAAATGTCTGGAAGCTAATGGTCATCACTTTGAGCACCTCTTCCTTTTTTTTTGTACCAGGGATCGAACTCAAGACCTTGTGCTTGTGAGGCAGGCCCCGGAACCACTGAGCTAAATCCCTGGAGAGCACCTCTTCTAATTATAGAGGCCAAAGGTAACTTGTATTAATCTCATGATGTTTCAATAGATTTAGTTATTAAAATATTTATACAGGTTTTTCTTTTCCTAAAGTGTGTATACATTTTTTGGCAGACTCTGTGTGGGTATATGTGTATATACGTGGTCGTGCGCGCGCGTGTATACATAGTTATTTTGCCTTGTATATATAAAATACCATAATTAGAAAGATCTTCAACTCTTTGTAAATAGTCACTTATTGGAATGAGGGAAGAAGGTAGTAAATACAGCACATATGGAAGAATCTATGTTTTCTAAAAAATTTTACATTAAAAATTTTAGGAATGTATTTATTCATTGGTGCTTCTCTGATTTTAAAAGAATAACCACTCTATTTGTATGATATTAGAAAATATAGATATACATATAAAACTAATAAATACCGGAGACAGGGCCGGGGATTTAGCTCAGTGGTTTTGCCGCCTGCTACGCAAGCACAAAGACCCGAGTTCGATCCCCGGTACCAAAAAAAAAAAAAAAAAATACTGGAGACAAATTAAATTGAACCACAAGTGACATCTCAATTTATAATCAATTATTTTTATTTCCCAGAATGATAAATACTTACACATTTTATCTTATGTTTTAGTTCTGGATCAATTGTCCCTCCAGGTCCAATTTGTGCAATAACTGACTTGAATGAGTTCTCCAACTATGGAAAAAGGAAAAACAAAGTCAAGTCACAGAAAGTTAAACATAAATCTAAATAATATATAAAGGAGATACCTATAAAAAAGAAATATATTTCAACCAAATGGATAAAAGACTTCTTTAAAAAATGACACTATAACATTCCATAGCAAAAAACATGGAATCTTTATGGAACGGGACACTGGAATTTCTTAAAATAATACTCTCTGTAATAGATTCTAGACTGTTCAGTTACTTAATCCCACTCTTATTCAAATAGATATTACTAATTTTCTGCACTGTGCACAGAACAAAGATAAATGATTACAGTCTTATTGTCAGAAACTATGCAGACGAGAACACAATGGAATAACACTTCTGAAGTGCTTCAAAAATGAAGACAAGGCTGGGGATTTAGCTCAGTAGTTCCGCCACCTGCCTCACAAGCACAAGAACCCGAGTTTGATCCCCGGTACCAAAACAACGCTGAGATTCCACTTCACTCCAGAAAGAATGGCTGCTATCATGAAATCAACCAATAACAAATGCTGGCGGGGCTGTGGGGAAAGAATAACCCTGCTCCACTGCTGGTGGGAGTGTAGACTGGTGGAAGCACTGTGGAAATCAGTATGGAGATACCTCAAAGAACTAGGACTGGAAGTCCCATTTGACCC